TTCCCGGCTGCCCAGACTTGAAATAACCACACAGGAAAATGTATTAATTAAACCACTGCTTGGCCTATTAGCTCTAGCTTCTTATTGGCTAGCTCTTACATCTTAATTTAACCCATTTCTGTTAATCTGTATATTGCCATGTGGTGTTGGGGACTGTGACACCCCCCCTCCACCTGCCGGAGTAAACAACTTGTTTTCCTATGCTTGCAGCTGCTCTGAGCAAACAACTTGTTTTGCAGCTGCTCTGAGCACGAGACCCTCAGGAGTTCCTGATGGCAGGGGAGTGGTTTCTGGTGGGCTTGCAGCTGAGAGTTAGGACCGCATATAAGCTGCCCTGGAACACAGTAAAAAGGGGGCTCTCTTGGCGTTACCCGTGTCTCTCTGTGTGTCTGTGTGTTTCAATCTCCAGACCCTTGCCCGACTTGCGAACTGTACCGCATAGAGCAGGCTTTGCGGCACAATGTGTCTGTGCCTTACAGGCAAAATCCCATCCAGCATCTGTCTCTGGAGGGGCTACATGACTTCTCCCTGACTCTGCCTACTCTCTCTTTATATCTCTCTTTCAGTCTGGCCATGTTCTGTTAAGCCATTGGCTGAAAACAGCTTCTTTATTCGTTAACCAATAAAAGCAACACATAGACAGAAGGACCTCCCACATCGGTAGTCTGTTACAGCCACAGAAAATGAACCAATGCTGGGACTTGTGCAAGCAGACCACCAAGTTACATCTCAAACTAGTTTTCACCATTATAGCCTTCTACAAACCAAGTCTTGACACCCCATCCTCTTTAATATGGTTTCCATTAATGCAGGTCAGTTAGGGCTAATGTCACTGGCATGGGTTAAATGTGTCATACTCTCCGATTTGCTCAGGTACCTATGATGTGACCTACTGGGAAACAGGGCCTTTGGAGACAAGATGGAGTTAGGGCAAGCCTAATCCATGTAAGGTAGCAGTTGCTACCCTTCAAAGGCAAGCGGACATGCAGGGGATATCGTGTGACAACCAGATCAGGGTGAGACGTCACCAAGCATGAGACACCGAGAATGGCCTGCACACACCCAGGAACCAAGAAGAGGCACGGAGCAGATGCTCACTTCTTCCCAGAAGAAGCCAGCCCAGCCAGAATGTGATCCCAGCTTTCCCATCTTCAGAGCTCTGGGAGAGAATACATTCCTATTGTTCTAAGTCATCGCTCTATGGACAGCTTAGCTATGGATGGGCAGACATACTGAAACATGACTCAAGCTAGCCTAAGGAGAAAGGAAAGTCTGTCTCTTAGAGTTACAGCAGCATCATTGAGGAGGCTCGGATGGCATTTTTTGACGCAGGAAGCTTTAAGGGTAAAGTTCAGTTGTATGGACCAGATTCCCCCTCGCCCCCCAGGAGCTCACACAAGACAGCCATTTCAGTTTGCTCATTTGCTTTTGCTGGTGTTTGAGGATCGAACCCAGACCCTCACACACTTGTCTCCCGAGCTGCATCTCCAGTCCTTGATGTTTTGTTTTATCGTTGTCTCCTGTAGATCTTGTTTACCCAGTGTTGGTTGGTGTAGTCACTTCATGACACCCCAGAGAAGTGAGGGAGACTCACCCAGGAGACACATGGCCTAGCTCTGTCTGCTGTCCAAAAGTTCATCACATCTCCAGTCTTAGCTCACGCTCCTGGGGACACACTGTTTCAGGAATGCATGAGTCTATCTGCTTATTTACAGAGACAGTGAGAAGTTTCTTCCATAGAGTGTCTGTGGAGCAATGCCAAGGGCAGAAGTCCTATGGGTAACTGAGTATAAGATATTTCAGTATAAGAAAAATCAGCTCTGAAAGTAAAAATAATGAAAGTGAGTGAATTATAGTTATACTTTCTGGGGAGGGGAGTGAGGTGACTGAGAGAAAGCAAGCGAGGGATGAGAAGAAAGGATCCAGGGGAGACCGGTGGGAGCCAGAGTTCAGCCATGATCATAAAATCCTCCGTGAGACCTGGGGGATGCCCTGGACAAGTTTCCAAAAAAGAGTCGCGAGCAGTGTGCTGGCAGGAGGCTGCTGTGGTCTGGATGGGGCAGACCTTGGGGTGAAGTCTGAACATTGTGATCTAATTGCAAATTTGATCCTGTCAAACATGGGGGCCTTTCTGAGCTGGCCTTCACCAGAGTAGAGTCAAAGCGCCTGAGGTGGGGGCAGTGTGTCCTCTTTCCTTCCTTTTGTCAGGCAAGGATACAGCAAGCCCTCACCAGACAGCAGTGGGGTCTTGGTCTTGGGCATCCTAGCCTTCAGAACAGAGAGAAAGACATTTCTGTGGTTTACAAATTACTCAGATAATTTGTTACAGGACAGCTAAGTAATCAAGGGAGTAGCGAGTCCGGATAAAGAGCACGTCTTTACAGAGGGAGAAGTCCTCCTTTCTCTATTGCAACTCAAAGGCGACGTCAAGTCTTTTTCTTGAGGTCATTGTGTCCAGTGACCAATGACTTCTTGGAAGTTAGGAAACTCTCAGTGTGAGGTGATGAACAATACAGCTCCCTCCCTGACCTGAGGGACAAGTTCACACCTGAACACTGAGGTCATTCACTATCTCTGCCACTGCTGTCAGGTGGCTGGGGGCCATAAAAGGCCCTAGGATAGGATATGGAGCCCAGCCAGAAGGTTCTGGGGACTAAGGGTTTAAACCTTTACCTGGTTCCAGGGAAGGAATCAGGATCAACACTCGGGCAGAAGCACGTGTAAGCACTGAGAAGTATACAGGGATGGGCTGGGAGCAACCCAATTGCCCACCGGCTGGGCGATGGAGAAATAAACAGTGCTCCAGGTACCAAACGAACTTATAATTGGCATTGTTTTGGCTGCAGCTCCTAGCTCAGGGCCTGAACAGTGGGTGCCATGGCCAAATCAAAAAGAAAAAAAGAAAAAGGATACTTTTGGGGAGAGAAGAAGCGGTGTGGGGTGTGTAGGGAGAGCAGGTGAAAGGAAGTACCTTGCCTGTGGTTTCTGGGGTTTGGCGCCTCCCTCAGCTACTTAGCTCCCTCTACCCCAGGGAGGCAGGGTGTGGCTCACCTCAAAGTGGCTTGAAAAGGAGGCTGGTTTTCCTTCTGTTAACCCAGTGATGGGCAGGCAAGCTACTTAATGGCCTGCGTGTCAGTTTGCGCACTGCAAGCCAGTGACAGGGATTAAACCACTCAGGGTGGTCATCGGGGTGAGACCCGGTGCTCACCACATCCTGACACCTGGGAGGACTGGAGACACCAGGGGAAGACGGCCTCGTCCAACACAGTCCAAAGAGTCTGTGATGAAGGCTACTGATCACTTGAAAGTGCCTAGTGCAACCGAGGGACTGAAAATGTTTATTTTATTCCATTTTAATTGGTTTACATTTATTTACGAAAATATTTGTTTATTTATTTGCAGTTCTAGGGATGAGACCTCAAACCTAGGGCTCACCAATGCTAGACAAGCACTTTATCACTCAGTGATAGTCCCAGCTGCCACCAACTCCTTGCTTTACATTTAATTAACATATTGTTTGTGTGTGTGTAGCATGTGCAAGTACGGACACAGCTGTATTTGTGTCTGTCAGCCCCGAAGTGTGTTTGCTTGGGCACTGCCCACCTTGGTTTTTTTGTTTGTTTGTTTGATTTTTAGTTTTTTGAAACAGGGGTTCTCTTTGTAACTTTTGGCTGTCTGAAAACTCTCTCTTGTAGACCAGGCTAGCCTTGAACTCACAGAGATTCAACTGCCTTTTCCTCCCAAGTGCTGAGATTAACAGCGTGAGCCACCATTCCCCGGGGCTTAAAAACCAAACTGGACACTCGGGAGGCAAAGGCAGGAGTTCTCAGGTTGGGCTAAGTTGGGGAGCTTCAGGGATCTTCCAGCCTCGACCTCTCAGGCTGGAATTACAAATGGGTGGGGTTGGCCATCCAGGTTTTGTTATTATTATTATTATTATTATTTGAGACAGGGTTTCTCTGTGTATCTCTGGCTGTCCTGGAACTTGCTGTGTAGACCAGGCTGGCCTTGAACTCACAGAGACCCACCTGCCTCTGCCTCCCCAGTGCTGGGATTAAAGGCGTGTGCCACCACTGCCTGGCTAGAGCAAACCTTTATTGATCTGAGAGGTTGGTGTCTTCATTCAGGGGCATGGAAGAATGTGTCCTGTGCTCCAGAGGCATGAGGGGAGATGATGGCCTCACCTGGTCCAGAAACTGCTCTTCTGAACTGTAAGGTGGTAAATAAATCAGGTTTGTTTCTGTGACCCCAGGACTTCAGGGAGTGTCATGGGGGGCAGCACAGGCCACACAGGCCTCGTAATTTTTAAATAGCTGTCTGTTACAAAGAGCAATTGGTCACCCTGTTTGCCAACACACGGTCTGAGTCAGGAATTAAACTGGGCCATGCTAGGCGTGGATGGATGGCTAGTCATGGGGACTCAGTACAGAATGCATTCTTCCATGAGGTGCTTTCTTTCTTCCAGCAGCTCAGGACCCTAAATTCTAAGATCACCTCAATTGAAGACCGATTTCACTTAAGCCCATGGCCCCAGCTGTCCACTTTGTCCACACACAACCTTGTAAATTCTTTGGGAAAATCGGGTGGGGGAACTCTGCCCTCGTACAACCTACTGAGGCCCTCGGTTCCTTTACTTTTGTAACAAGCAAGGAGGCTCTGCATTTCCAGTTCCATTTCACAGGTGAGGAAACGGAGGCTCAAGGAGGCTCTGACAGACGGCGGGAAGCAGGATAAACTCTTGAGGAACTCACCCATAGGTCGACATAGACACATCCGTGGGTCGGGTTGTCAGGGTGGCGTGGGAAAGCGGCGGGTAAATATTTGGGGCGGTAACCCGGGCTCCGGCGACACAAGTCGTCACTGCGGTTCTAGGCCGGCGGGCGCGTGGCGAGGGCGGTGCCGGGGTAGGGGATGGGGGGGGGGGGGTGACGGACAGGGACGTCCCCTAGGTCGTCTGGGACAGACTTGGTGGCCCCGCCTCGCCCCGCCCCCGCCCGTGGCTATAAGACGGTGAAGCTGGCGGGTGGCGGCGCAAGCGAGGAGCGAGCGCTCGGCCAGGTTACCCGAGCGGACTGCAGTGCAAGGCGGCCGCCACCAGGGCCAGCACCTCGCGGCATCTCTGCCACGCGTGTAGGCGAGCGACCTCTCCATGAAGCCGCCCTCGATTCAGGGCAGCCCTGCGGCGGCTTCGGCCGCAGGTAAGTACCGGGTTGAGCGTGCCCCCTCCATCTCTGCGCCCCGGGATCGAAGTCAGGGACTCCCCGACTTCTGAGAGCTCAAACCTGAGGGTGGGGGGTGAGAGATCAGGAGTCGCGATAGTCTCTTTCCATTGACCACCCTTCGTCCTCCATCACCCCAGCACGCCATCCCCGGGTCGCACGGCTGGGGCCAGTTCAGTTTGGTTTCCCACGGGGGACAAGGATCTGAGCCTGACACGTAACGGGTGCTTGTTGACTCAGACTTCCCGCCGCCACTCGCTCCAGGGAGTGAGCGTGGGCACAAGTAGGAAAGCGCGTGGGGTGGTCTAGGTGACTTAATGGCTTTCCACCTACGGAGGCTGTAGCTCGTCTGGGTCTGGTGGCAGGCGCTTTGGAGGGTGGTTGAGCGGTTACAAGGTAGCAGCGCGGCTGTCACCGGCAAATGCAGAGTGAAGTTAGCCGTCCTAGTCCGGTGACCGTCTCTCCAGATCCTCCCGGGCAGGAGAAGAGTCACCCCTACCCACGCTGCGGTTCACTGAGCGCTCTGTGCCCGCCCCCAGCCCCGGCAATGGACTCAGCGGCCGCAGCAGACCTGACGGACGTGCTGTGCGAGTTCGACGCCGTGCTGGCGGACTTCGCATCGCCCTTCCATGCCCGCCACTTCCACTATGAGGAGCACCTGGAACGCATGAAGAGGCGCAGCAGCGCCAGCGTCAGTGACAGCAGCGGCTTCAGCGACTCGGAGAGTAAGTGAGGCCCTGTTGAAGCCAGTGACCCCAGGGCTCCGGGGTCACTGGGGTATCTGTAAACTGAGGCACGGTGTCCAGGAAACTCAGACCCGAGGCTGTGCACCGGCTCTTGAGATTTAAGTCCAGGTGGTGGCATGATGGCAATGGGGGGGGGAGGGGACGACTCTTGATGGACTGTGTGTGGGTCTACCTGTCATGGCAGGTGTCTGTCATGAGGTCTAAGTGTTTCTAAAGTCAGCAAGAGCTCCTGGGACCCGGGCCGGGTCTTCCAGCAGTTTCCCTGCTTTGCTCCCTGCTCTTTATTATTATTATTTTAAACTTTGCTGAGATCACTCCCAAGGAGACCTAGCTGAGAATGCCTTGAACTTCTGATCCTCCTTCCTTGGGCTTCAGGTGCTGGGATCACAGAGGCGTGCCAGCACGTTCAGCCTTGGCAGTCCTGGGGGTCCAGACCTACCTAGGGCTACTTGCACGCAAGGTCAACGCTAAACCAAACAGCACCCTCTCTTCTTTTCCAGAATGGGTGTTGGGGGACTTGGGGACTCGGGCGAGCACAATAATGAAACATTTGTGTAACCAAAATGATTTCATAAGCTGCTGTTTTTGGAATTTTTGAAATAGCTTCATTCCCTTTCCTCTGAGCTCCCGGGCTCTTTCACCACCCCAGGCAGTTTTGAAACCACTCTCCCCGGGGCTACTGAGTTCAAGAACTGGATTTCATGCAGCTCCCCACACCTCCCCCTCATGGTTGCCAGTAGAGAGAGGTTCATCCTGGTATCCTTTTCCCACAGTGCCTCTGTCCTAATAACTTTGGTTAGAAAGAGTGTGTGTGAGAGGGGGCGGGGAGTTCAGTAACTCAAGTGAACTACAAGATCCGGATATCTGCGCAGGTGTCAAGCAGCGAATTTGGAGACGTTTTTTATTGTTACGTAATTGTTTCCCAAGCCCTAGCTTACTCGCTGTTTTTCAGTGTGAATTTTACATTCTATTTGTTCAAGAGCACTTACTTCCTAGCTGGGCTGCAGGCACAGACATCCTTAGCTGTGCTGTCCCGGATCCTGGGAGTCAAAAGCCTGGTATTGCTTTGAAATCTAGAGACTTCTTCCTTGTGACCCGGCGAAGATCAGTGTGAGATCTGAGTTATCCTCCTGGGAAGGGATAATGGTTGACATCCTGGTCAGGGTTTGAGTCAGAAACCTGAGCTCTAGTTTGATTTCCCCCAGCAGCTTGCACAGGGCACAGGGTGATGGAGGAGGTGAAGGGGGATGGAGAGGGGGCGGGTGAGCGGTTCCTTTCTGTTTACAACTTTTACTCTTTGATGCTAATGAACTGCCTTCCCAGCATTCCAAGCCAAGTCTTGCCCTGGAAATCTGTCTCAATACCTGTGGCGTAACTTGAATATATCTCCATCCATTGGGATGATGTCCAAGTTATTCATCATGTGGAAATTCTCTTCTCCACAGAGGAGAAGGCCGGGTCTGTCGCTACTGCTCTGTGGTCAGGGACAACTCTTTGCTATACCAGAGCCTCCTGCTGGATTGGGGTCTGATCTTGTGCAGTTATGGCAGACAGCATCTACAAGTTCTGCCAAGAGGGAGCTCAGATCTAGGAGGTGTTTTTAGGAGTTTTAGAAGAGATTTCATTAGAGACGTTCCTTAGCAGTTTGGGAGATAGTCGATAGAACTGGTTGTTTTCCTTAGGGTATATCTCTGTGTTTTTCACTTTCTGCTTTTGTTGTTAGCCTGTAGTGTGGTGGTTGGAGAAGAGGTGGGAAGGGCCTGAGAAAGAGTGATGACCTTGATATTTGCTGTCAGCATGGTTTGTTCCCTGGTGTGAATGCTCAGAAACAGTCATGGTGGGGTTTGCGTGTATCTAAATAATGCTTTCTTAAGGATACATAATGTGAATGTCTTAATTGTCTCCAGGAATGGAGCGGGGACATTTGTTACACTCCTTTGTCTGTAACAAAGGAGGAAGAGAATGCCTGGGAGAGGTGCAGACCCCTGGAACTTAACTCTCTCAAGAGGGCAGCCAGGTTTATAATGGTAGTCGCAGCAGCTAGTTTACTTTTACCAAGCCCTCACTAGGGTTGTTAGCCTCGCAACTTGTTGGCTCTTGTTATCGGTCACCTCTTGGTATTCTTTGAATGTTATCACACATAATCTTTACCTCAGTCCTACAAGTTAGGCACTTTTATCTTCTTTAATTTCTTTGCCTTGCTCTGTCATCACAGATGGTTGGTTAGAATGTGAACCAGAGTATCCTGGCGCTCCATTGTGCTCAGATCCTGTGTCTTTTCATACATGGCATTGCAGGTCCTTTTCAAGGCTTTTGGGATCAAAAGTCAGTGGACATAGGTGATGCATATTCCTGAATTTTGAAAAATACCTTTTTTTTTCTCACTAAAAACATCAGGTTGTACAGGTGGATCTCTGTGAGTTCGAGACCAGCCTGGTCTACAGAGCAAGCTCCAGGACAGGCTCCAAAGCTACACACAGAAACCCTGTCTAGAAAAACTAACAAACAAAAATTAGGTTGCAGGACTTCAGAGAAGGTACAGGGGTTAGAAATAGGTACTGCTTTATATATATATATATAAAATTTACTTAGAATCTTTCAAAACAGGGTCTTATTTTACCCCTGGCTGCCTGGAACTCACTGTAGACCAGGCTGGCTTCAGACCCGACAGTGATCAAACTGAGAGCCAGGAGTCTTTTCCTCTGTGCCACACTTCACTGAAGCTGACTGTCAGAAGTTAGGTTTGGAGAAAAGAGACCCTCATTCCTGCCATTCCCTGGGGACAGTGCCATAGACCTGGTACTTTCCTTTTCCTGGTAATTACTATAGTTGGCTGTTGCAGATGTGTGGGAAGGATCTATATTTGCCAGGCCTCTGGGCAAGGCTCTCTGTCTGTGGTTTTACTTTTCTCTGGAGTAGCACATGGCAGTTCTAACCCTAAATTACCTTTCTCCCAACCCCCCAAATTAAAATAAAAAAGAAACATATATGTGTGTGTATATATATATGTGCATATATGTATATATATGTCTTTCTTTTAAACAAAACTTCTGTTTGTGTTATAAGTTTCTTACATTTGATAGGTATACCTAAACTTATGGGGTTGTGTATGTAATATGCTTTTATTTCTTTTGATGGTCCCTTGGGACACTCATTCCCAGATCTGAGACTTTAATGCATTAAATGGACCAGGACTTTAAAGGACATTTGGAATGGGGATTGGATACCAGTGAGGTAGGGCTTCAAAGCAGTCTGAAATAGATGTTTTAAGGTCTGCTTTACCACATATGAAGGTCCCTCAAGTCATCATAACAATTAGGTTTGGAGAACCTAATACCAGATAGCAGGGCGGGGTAGCCGTACACATACGTGCTATCAGCCAGAGACATGCTGCTGGCATTTTATCAGACAGGCTAAATATTATTTTCCCAAGAACTAGAGTTCTAAGGGAGTGACCAGAACAGGAGCTTGAGCCTTGCTTACCTACTCATCTGCCACAACCTCTAGCGTGAGATTCCGGTCAGACAGGCTCTCGATAAGAACCTGTGTGGGGAAATAGCAGGTAAAGAAGTTTAGCGTTTGGGTATCTGTGTTGTGGGTTTGTTCTTGGTCACTTCTGAAGAGAAACTTTTTTAAAAAAAAAACTGTTACAATCTGAAAATGGCGGGAAGCCAGCCTTGGTATCTTGGTTGTTTTCTCCTCAGTGATAACGCCTGCCTTTCTGAACACGCTTTTCTCCATTTGGCTTGAAGATCAGACCATTCGGAAGCCACAGGCATCACTCACAGAGAAGGCCTAGGTTGCGGTTGCCTTTCACGTGGCCTCTGCTCCCCACCCGTTCCACCGAGGCAGAGCTTCAGGGACTTGAAACAGAGATGAAGTTCAAAGCTAGGGGGAAGGACTGTGGCGTATGCAGGGCAGGGTGAAAACAGGTGTGGCATTGAGAGCGGCCCTCAAGTGCCAGCTGTTCTGAGAGATAGAGACCAGGGAGGGGGTGGCCTTTAAGTTCTGGACTAGAGAGTCTCACAGTGGGAACTCTGATCCCAGGACAAGACGATGTTCTTGGGCCTCTTTCAGAGACAAGGATACTGTGACAGGGGCTTTGGCCTGAGTCCCAAAGATGATTCTGTCTTCTCATGTTTCTCCATCTGTATCTGTGTGATCCCCTGGTTACTGACAGCGATAAAGTGATGCTCATCCGGGGATCTAAACAGATGCTCTGTACCTTCCCGTGTGCCGGGGACTGCTACCACGACCACTGTTCTACAGGCATAAACAGCTGGAAAAAAAAAACAAACAGAAGGGCTTCCAATTCACGTTCTAGAGCGTTCTAATGTCCTAAGATATTAATAGGAGGGCCACAAAGTGTCCAGTTGTCAAGTATACTTGGGAAGAAGGGCTGGGGACAGACCTGTGTCTTCATCACAAGACTTCTCAGGACAGTCATAGGGGGAATGATCAACAGTTCTTGGTGTTCCTGGAACATAGTTAGTCACACATGTCAAGGACCTGCATTCCAGAGGTGGGAGCTGGTGATGCTACTTTTGGATAGTGTGTATGGGTCTAAGGTTCAGTGTTGAGGACCTCGGTGTGGTTCCATCGTCGAAGGCCTGAAAAATGACTGTGGTCCTTTGAGGTGACCTGGGCTAGAACTCTTGAAGGAAGAAAAGATCATAGTGGTTGTTCATGAGGTTCTGCTGGGCATGTTTGGAGAAGTGGGTTAGGTGGGTATAGAGGCCAAGAGAGCCCTGGGTCCTTCTGGTCAGAAGGCAAAGGGCACGGTCAGACAAGACCACCTGAGGGGGTGTGGCAGCCTTTTAGGGATAGACTCAGTCCTATGACTATAGGAAACTTCTTTCAGAGACCTATTTTTCTTTTATGCTGAGCACATTAAAAAGTAATTTAGACAAGTTCATTTTGAGTTCACAGAACTAAAGCAAGGCATGTTGCCTCTCCCCGAACTAGAGATAAATGGCTTGAAGGACAGGAGCCTCCAAAGGGAGCAGGGACCTGGCCAGGCCCTCGTTATTTGGCTGCTCACCTGAAGAGCCTTCCCAGAGCTCCTGCTGCTGCTGAGTGGCTTGACTTTCCGTTTCTAACCAGAGAAGCGGCTTCCTCCCTTGCCACCACCTCCGGGGCCACATCCTGCTTCCGTTAACCTCCTGTGTCTCTGAGACTCCACTACCTCCTCAGAACTGCGCTGACTTCCTCCTCTTTGTCAGGATTTAGGATCTCACGACTAGGAGGGATTGGAAAGATTGTCCAATCTACCTTTCCATCTTCCTGACAGGTAAACTGAGGACCAGAATATGATCTTTTTAAGCACCCTTGAGCAAGCAGTAGCTAAGCCGCTCCTGGCCCTGGTGCAGTCTGGCCTGACTGGGACTTTGTCTCCTGCTGCTTTGACATTTGGGGCATCAGAATAGAAGGAACCGTGAAGTCCTTTGATTGTGACAGATGAACAGCCAGGAACAAAAACAATCTTTGTTCTTGACTTCAGTGACCCAGACCTTCTTGACCCAGACTCATGAGCAGGGAGGGAAATTATTAGACGTGGGGCCCAATGTTGTGCTTGTGTTTGAAAGGTGTTTAGAAGGAAGAGAATGCCTTTCATGAGAAATGATACTGCATTTTGAGTGTTTACATTTTTTTTATGTGTATGGGTGTTTTGCCTGTATGCATGTCTACGTACCACTTGTGTGCCAAGTGCCCAAGGCGGCCAGAAAGGACCATTAGACTCCTAGAATTGTAGTTACAGAGTGTTGTAAGCTGCTAAGTGGGTGCTAGGAATTGAACCCATGTCTTCTGGTAAAAGCGGCTAATTCTTAACTGATAAGCCATCTCTTTAGTGCCTGCCCACCCCATCTGGTCCCCTCCTTTTTTTTCTTCTTTTGAAGACAGAGTCTCATGTATTTTACTCAGTATGTAGCTGAGGATGACTTGAATTTCTGATCCTCTTATTTCTACCTCCAGAGTGCTGGCATCACTGGTTTGCCACTGACTGGTGTACCACTGATAGAGTGCCAGGGTCTTGGTGAGGTTCCGATTTCTCTGTCTGTTAACGAATTAAAAGGCAGGAAAAACTCTTGAGTGCAGCTCTTCTGTAGCAGAGAAATCTCAAATAGGAGCATGCAGAACTAGCAGCTGAAACCATGCTGGTTACTGGGAGTTTGAACACATACATGAAGCAGACACACAGGGAAAAAGACTCTCTGTCAGAGGCCAAAAAGATCTGGTCTCTTGGGGGAGGGCGCTGGGTTGGATTTTTGTTGTTTGTTTGGTTGTTTAAGGCTGCAGAGTTTCCCTCCTGTACTTTAGGGCTAGTCAGTTTGAAGAAAGACTGGATAACCGGTTGATTGATCCACAACAGTTCTGTTCCTGATCCAGGCTTGAATTTGTTGAGCCAGTCTACTGGTGGGAGACAAAAGCCTACCAGGCCTTTGTTTTAAGCTGCCAGGGTTTTGTCTCAAGTCAGGAGGCTGAGGGAGTTTACCGCCTTTATTATCTGATCATGACTCCTCTATCAGTCTGCCTAGCAGGGAGTGTGTCCGTCCAACTCCTGGTCTTTTACTAGGTGCTGGGATTGAACGCAGAGCTTCATGCCGTCTGGACAAATACCCTACCAACGAAGCTGCTTCATATTCCAGCTCTCATCCCATCAGCCAGGACTTGGCTTGATAGCTGGCCAGTCTACTCCTGCAGAGCAGATATCTGGTCCTATTAACACATCACACAGTTCTAGGTCGCCAGTGCGCTTGCCTGGACACACACACACACACACACACACACACTGCCCTGCTTTAGATCATGTCTAGATCGGAAACTGGTCTGTTTTCTTTCATGTAGGTCTGCAGCATCTGGTTCTCTGAACTGCTGGGTATATAAACCTAGACTGGCAAGTGTTTAGCGGGCACACCTCCTAATGAATATGGCCTCCTTCCTTAAAGGTGCAGACTCACTGTACAGGGACAGCTTCAGCTTCAGCGATGAGAAACTGAATTCTCCCACCGACTCCACTCCAGCCCTGCTGACTTCCACTGTGGCTCCTCGGAAAGGTGAGCCCACCACTGCTTCTATCCCTGCCTGCCCTATTTTGTTTATCCCCAACCAGGCGTTCACGGTGCACAAAGCAAGGAGATAAGACAATAAATGGTTTTTGGGGGACAGAATGTGTCGTTTCGTGGGATTTGGGCCACGTGTAGATTCTGTCTTGTGTCAGAGGGGGAGTGCTTCTCATTTTCCTGCTGGACTAGCTTGGCTTCATAAGAACTCAGCAGTATGGCTTTGCAGCAATGAGAAGATTATTTTCTTTTTCTCCTTCCTTCCTTCCTTCCTTCCTTCTTTTCATTTCATTTCATTAACTGTTCACACTAGTGCTTTTGGGTGACCAGTTTAGCAGCTGTCTTTATAAGAAAAGGATGATCTAACATGGGGCCATTGAGATGGCTCAGTGGGTAAGCCTGCTTGCTGCCAAGCCCGACAACCTGAGTTTGATCTCGGAATTGCTTGGTGGATGTCCTCTGATGTCCACATGGGCACATGTATTCATACACACACACACACACACACACACACACACACACACCAAATGAATGAATGAATGAAATGTTTTTAATAAAATAAAATGGACATGTCTCAAAACAGCAGCTCCACCCTGTCTCTGCTTCGATATGAATAGACCTAAGAGGGTTGGTTTAAAGAGGTTTGAATTAGCTTTTAGTTTTTGGTCTCACCAGCTCGAGAGCTGAATGTTCTGTTATATTGGAGAGGCGCCCTTTTGAGAACCAAAGACACCTCCCCCCTCCAAGGAAAATTGAGCTTGCTGAAAAGAGTTGCAAAATGCAATAAAAATGGAACCAACTTGAAAAGAAATATGCCTCACTTGCCTCCGCCTGGCATTTAAACAGAACTTCCCCCTTTCTAGAAAGAGGGATATTTTTAAGTTCTCTTCTTGACACAATGTTACAGCCTCAGGGGATTCGACTGCAGTCCAGCCTCTAGTCTGTAATGGATCTGAGGACTCCAGGGATAGAGTGGTCTAGAGAGTGGCTTCAGTAGTGCCCAGCTCTGCTACCCAATCCTCCAGAGGTGGGAATTACAGCAGGGAAAAAAAAGTCACTGCGAACAATGAACCGTTTGTACCCTGCAAAGGAAAATATTCAGCAATGCATTTCAAGGAAGGAAGGAAGGCATGACAAACCATACAGAAGAAAGTAAACTGCACTGGAAAGCATCTACCTCTGACTGCAGAGACAGCAACGTCTGGATGAAAGCTCTGTGCTACTCTGGGACAGGCCGTCACGTTCCCTGTTCCACTTGACATGAACTAGTACGAATATTAGTCTCATGTCACATCAGAGGGCCACTGTATTGCCCTCCAGCAGCAGCACAAGCAAATAATTTGCCTTCCTCCCCCTCCCTGTCTCCCAGAGTTTTAAAACACCAAAGATGGATTTAAGATGGAACCATCTCCCAGGTTAGGAAGGTGGGTAGGATGGTGGCTTAGGGTGGTCGTGGACTACAGGACAAACTCTGAGGCTGTCCTCTGGGTCAGCTGCTGAGACACAAGTAAATGTGGGGGAGACACTAAGGACTGATGCAGGGCACGTTCCGTGACGTCTCTGAAGATGACAGGTTTCCATAACCCGGAAACTGTAATCCTCCATCAACTGTGTTTGAGAGGGAAACCGAACTCTTTTTTTTTTTTTTTTTTGCAGCCAAATTAGGCGACACGAAAGAGCTCGAAGACTTCATTGCTGATCTTGACAGGACGTTAGCAAGTGAGTACACACATGGTGTTTAAAACAGCGCAGGGAACACTGAGCCACACCTTTGGTAATGCACTGTGATGTTTCCCAGCCTGCCCGGGGTGGGAAGTTGCATCATAAGCTGCTCTAGGTGGAGAAACAGGACCGCAGTGGCTCAGAAAGCAGTGTGGAGGAAAAGCTTGCCGGAGAGTAGCCAGAGCTGCTTTCCCAACTGTGCAAACAGTTCAGCAGCAGACAATGGCACGTTGTTCAGAAAATGGAGTTTTGCTGGGGGGACGGCTTGCCGGTTCTGAGAGAAGGAACGAGCCAGTGGGTCACACAGGCATTCCTCCAGCAAGCCAGAGGGGTCTGTCCACTTCATAATACCCCAGATTTGATGCAGGGGCCCGGTGAGACCTTTGTGAGGATTGAGTGCCAAAGAGAAGTGGTGTGGGATGCCCGTGCCAACTTGCCCAGATTCAGCATGCAGATACGTGCTTCTAATTTGGGATTACACTGTTGGCTACCCATTTCGTGTGACCCCAGATGAAGACATCGGGTCAAAATTGCAGCACGTGGGGGGTGGGGTGGGGGTGTTAGAGGAAAGAACTGTCATGCTCTATCTGGGTGCTCCTCTTCAAAAGGGCAAGATTGTAGCAGTCGGGAGGCTCCATCCCAGCTTGCAGGGTTGCTGGCCTCAGCGACTCTCCTCATGAGGGACTCTGAGAATTTTTTGTTCTTGCTTCTGAATTATTTAGTGAAAGTGATCATTTTTCTGTAAGAAGTATGCTATGTCTTTACTCTGCCAGAAAGGTAAATTTTAAAAATTTAGATTAAAAAATTAATTTAAAGTCTACTTAAAATAGCCAGGGTTTTAACACTCCGCCACTGTATTTGCTTGACGCCCCCTTTCTCTTCCACATTGCACTACCCGACATCAGAAGACCTAGGCCTGTTTTGACAGAGATTATTCTAATTGCAGCACAATTTGTATTAGGCCCATACCACAAGTCTGTCTACTTTACGCAGCTGGCCTCCTAGCCGTTCCAGTTAGTCAGACGTACGTTGCACGGGAAACCTGCCATTAACACTGCTTTTGATGCCCGTCTGAGCCCATGTGATGTGGTTAAGCAGGGGGATTGTGAGCGTCTGGCAGGGTTAACTAACCCTATATCTTCTCTTCAGGTATGTGAAGCAAGGAGTCCAGGGTCCTTAGGCCACAAAAGTGAGACTCCCGAAGGCTCCAAGCACCTGGCAAAATCAGCTACTAGAATCAGCTGCAGGAGGGGACGGAGCTAAGGCTCACACACCATCAGACTGTTCTTGGCTCACCCTAACATTTGCCATCTGGCCCATCTCTGGGCAACTCAGACAGCGAAACTGACTTTGTTTACCTGCCTGCAGCATGTTTCAGCAGATGATCTGTCTAATGTATTTTTACTCCTTAAACATAACTCTTCTATAATTTAAAATGCGTTTATGGAAATATTTGTAATTACTTATATATAGTTGGAGACAATAATAAGCTTTTCCCATTATAATATATTTTTGTATACAAATAAAGTTTAAGCTGGAATCTGTACTTTGAGAAATGTCTTATTATTGCCGATATATTCCCATTCAGTAGCTTTCTAGCAGGAATGGCAGGCCCCTGGATTCCTTGTGAGAATTACCAAGTGTTGTGGCTATACTCACTTGAGGGTGACCAGCTTCCTGAAGCGTCTTCTGCCCTCGAGTCTTTATATTCTCAAAACTTTTTCTTTGTGGGGCTGGAGAGATGCCTCAATGGTGAAGAGCACTAGCTGCTCTTCTAGAGGAGTGGGCTTCAATACCCAACCCTCATGGCATCCTCATATCATAAACTCCAGTGCCAGGGAATCTGATGCCCTCTTCTGGCCTCCTCTGGCACTGCATGCACATGGTGCACAAACATTCAGGCAAACATTCATACATATAAAATGAAAATAAATTTTAAAAAAAATTAAAAAAATTTCCCCCCTTGGGGCTGGAGAGATAGTTAAATTACTGGTTGCTCTTCTAGAGGACCCAGGTTCAATTCCCAGTATCCATAATGTTGCGTACAGCTATCTGTAACTCTAGTTCCAGGGGACCTAATGCCTCTGGCTTCCGCAGGCACCAGACACACACCTGGTGCCCAGACATACATATAAAACACTCGAACATATAAAATAAAAATAAGTAAATCTTGTCGGGCAGTGGTGGCACATGCCTTTAATCCCAGCACTCCAAGAGGCCGAGGCAGGCAGCCTGGTCTACAGAGTGAGTTCCAGGACAGGCTCCAAAGCTACAGAGAAACCCTGTCTTGAAAAAACAAAAAACAAAAACAAACAAAAATAAATACATCTTTAAAAAGAGAGCCTTAATTTAAAAATTAAAATTAATTTGACTTAATATTTTTGGTTCAGTAGTTTCATACATTTATATAATGACTTTTAGCCATTTACACACATGCACACACGCACGCACGCACACATGTTCATCTTTCTCTTCTCCTGCTGGGCTCTTCTCAGCAAGCTGGCCTGCTTACTTCATGGCTTCCTCTTGTGTGTGGGCCAGAGCTGGATTAGGGTTTCTTGTCTGAGTGTGGCTGGCAGGCTGTTTATCCCAGAGGAAGGGCACCCCTTTCAGTGGCTACTGAGGAATGAAAAAAATGAAACGGTTCATCAACCTGTGTCCTCCTCACCGAGGGCCCCTGCTGAGCTCTGTTTGCTCCCGTCTTGGCCTGCGTGCTGCTGACATCCCTACATTCTTAAAGGACATGTCCCCAAACACAGATGTGCTGCTGGTCTGTTTTGTAAGCTTGAGCAGACTAGAGTTAGCTGGGAGAGGGACCCCAGCTGAGGAATTGCCTCTATCAGATGGGCCTGTGAGCACACCTTTGGGGCGTTTGCTTGACATGGGAGGACCCATTCTGGGCAGAGCTACCGCTGAACAGGTGGTCCTGGGAGGTGTAGGAAAGGAAACTGAGGGCCGGAGAGTTGATTCAGTGGTTAAGCACACTTGTTCTTACGAAGGACTTGGGTTCGATTCTCAGCACCCACATGGAATCTTCTTCAGGCACTAGCAGGTATGTGGCATATAGACATACATGCAGGCAAAGCATTTGTATGAATAAAATAAAAACCTAAAAACAAATTAGGGAGAAAAAAAAAGCAAGCAGCCAGAAGCAGCAACGGAGGGCAAACCAATGACAGCATTCCTCCATGGTTCCTGATTCTGTTACTGCTAGAGATCCTGCCCCAAGTTTATCCCTAATAATCAGGCCATGAACGCCATATAAATCCCCTCTAAGTTGCTTGTGGTCACCGTTTTATCGCAGCAGCAGAAAACAAGGCAGGACGGCAAGTGTAGTCACTAGGTTCCTGGGGATGAAGGATCAACTTTGATGGCAGTGTCTCAGATTATACCAGAGCTGGCTGAGTGTCAGTACCTCGTGACTTCACAGCCGTCATGGTGTCGCAGGGGGACACATTGGGTGTTTGTGTGACGATGGTATGAACAGCCCGCTGTGCTTCAGGGGTCATGTGTCGTACAATCTATACTCTTAGGTACAGTCCTAAGACTTGGGAATGACAGGAAACGGTGACACTATCCAGCGTCTCATGCGTCGATTACATTCTTTTCACTGGTAGGGATCGCAGGTTTTCAGTGTTAAAGTTTTTTTATTGTACACAGTTGCTGTGTTGAACTGCCAGCCACTTCTTTTTCTCGAGTGTATGAAGAGACTACACTTGATCAACGCCTGCTGCCCAGATCTGTGTTGAGTCCTTTCTAGGAGGCCCCTATAATGGTAAAACTCACTTAGCAATGCATGCTTGAACACTATTAATATTTGATCCTTTTTAGAGCATTATGGAAAGACACTGTTTGCTTTCTTTTCCTCAAGCCTTTCAAAACTCTCTGTGTTCAATGCAAGCATTCTCTCTCTCCCTCTTTTTAATTTAAAGAACTTTATCTTTACGTGTGTGTGATGTGCACACACGGCCCTGGCGTGTGTATGGAGGACCGCATACATCTTTGTGAGGTAGTTCTCTCCACCTTCGCACTGGCTCCAGGGATCCAGTTCAAGGCCTCGCATTTGTGCAGCAACCGCCTTTCCTGGCTGAGCCATCTCACTGGCCTCTCCCTTAAAAAAAAAATATTGAGGCATGATTCACGGGCCGAAACTTCAGTTTTGTGGCTGTTAGCATATCCAAGGATATTACAGCCAGCACCGCTGCTAATTCTCTACCTGCATGACTGTCTGTTCTAGACCCATTAAGGGAAAGTTGACACTGTGGTCTCCTGTTAGCATATTCCCAAGGTTAACTCACATTGCATACCTTTTAATAGCAAAATAATATTCCACCATGTGGCTGTGTCACGTTCTGTTTATACAACCATTAGCTAATGGTTGGCATTTGGGTTTCCACTTCTGAGCTAATGAGTAACACTCTCATTAGGACCCATGTGTGAGTGTTTGTGTGGGTGTCTGCTTTCATTTCTCCTGGGTATATACGCAGACCTAGGATGCCTGGGTCAGATCAAGCTCTGTCTTCAACTCTTTGAGGCACTTTTGAATACCATGAAAGCAGCCATGAATGTGTGGTGTCCCGTTCCCAGCTGTAGTTGAGACCTCCCACGTCCCCATGTCCTCACTGGCACACATCTCTGTTTGAAGAGTGGGCCCCTGGGTGTGGAGTACGGGGCTCACCATCGCTTGTCTGGCGATTCTTGTGTAACAATGTCCTGTGTACGTCTTCCAATGTACTTACTGGCTTCTGTCTTCAGTGTTGAGCTGTAGAAAATCACCATGGATTCTGGACACAGCTTCCTTATCAGATATGTGATCTGAAATATTTCCATATCTCTCTTCTGTGGGCTCCTTGTACAGGACTGACCTCAAAGCCAAAGTGTCACCGTCTTCAGGAATTCATCTGGGCCTGCTTACAAAAGAGCCTTGCAGTGGGCCTGCTGGCTTCTTACCTTCCCTCCTAGAGGGGGGCAGGAGGACCACGGGACTCTCCTGGAATCCAGCTAGCCCCCTCCAACCAGCTGTAGCAATTCTGCCCTAATTGCAGACAACCTTAAGGTATTGGGGGGAAGGGCCAGAGAATGTCAGTGTAGAAGGATGAAGGGAGGGGACTCATCTACATAGCCAGGAGGAAGCTCTCAACCCAGCTGGGTGCCGAACTCCAGAGGCTGCCTAAAGATCACACACCTCCTGCCCATAACCTCACACCCCTGGCGCTGTAAGTAAGCCCAATAAACTCATGGGTCTCCCTGGTAAACTGTGGCAGAACCGGTTGAATTGAGCCTCGGTTTGTTGTTGGGACCTTAGGAGAAGGGGTAGGCCTTATTTACCTCTCTCTAGGGAAGGACAGAAACAGAGCTGTTTTTTCACTTTCTGTCCTGGAAGCATGGAAGTTTTAATGTTGTTGAAATCCAGTGTTTTTTCTTCTTCTGCGGCTTGCAGTGGTGGCGTTGTATCTAAGAAACCGCAGTTGGACCTCAGCTCCTGGACAGTCGCTCCTGTTCTTTAAAAAGGTCACAGTTTTTAGCGGAGTGTAGTGGTTCACGACCATAATCCCGACACTGGAACACCAGGGTACAGTCATCCTGAGTTAAAGGCCAGCCTGCGCTAGGTAGGTGAGTTCAAGGGCTACATAGTAGCCTTGAATTTGTCTTGAATTTTTCGAGAATTTGTCTCGAAGAAAACAAAACAAAACAAATCAGGGGTCTGGAGAGAAATGTCGTTAAAGCGCTTGCCTTGAGAACATCATGACCCAAGTTTCATGTCCAAAGCACACGAGAGAAATGCTGGGCATGGTGGCATGCTTGTGATTCCAGTGCAGGGCAGGTGGAGACAGGCAGATCCTTGGGGTTCAGGTACTAGCCAGCTAATTCCACTTGGCAAATTCCAGGCCACTGAACTCGGTTCCAAAAAGTAGGTGGGTGGGGCTGGGGCCCATTGGTTGGTGTTTGCTTTGTTAGCATGATGGTCTAGGCTCGATCCTCAGTACTGGAAAAGCAGAGCAAAAAGCAAAGGGCACCTGAGAAATACTTGAGACTGTCCTCTGCTATCTGCGTGCACACGTGACACCCACCCACCCTCGTGCTCCACACACAACCTAGATGTGATGGGCTTTGAGGTAAGCAGTACAAAAGTAGCCCCAGCATTGCTCTTTTGCACCAGGCCAGCCAGCTGTCACGACTCTCCGTTTTAAGAAGACATTTTGAAGACTCATAGGGAGTGAGATGGTGCCTCCGTGGACGGACGGACTCTCCCTCTCTCTCTTGCTTTTGCGCAGTCTCACTGTGCGCCACAGGCTGTTGTAGAACCTGCAGTGTAGCTCAAGCTTTCGTGTTCAAATTCACGCACCTTCAGGCTCTGCTTCTCAGTGCTGGTATTTGAGGTGTGTGCGATGACAGGCTGACTGTTTCCTGTCTGAACCACTGATCTTTATTTATAGGCATAGGATACCTGCCCATTGATAAGGAGCCATTTAAATTATTATTGTTATTATTATTTTTTTGTTTTTGTTTTTCAAGACAGGGTTTCTCTGTAGCTTTGGAGCCTGT